CTTGCAATCCTCCCCTTGGCCTTCTCTTCCAGCCAGGCTTTCCGCGTCTTCTTCCAGATGTTCTTTGGCATCGTGCTCGCCGGTGGCTCACATGGACTGATCTTCCTCCCCGTCTGCATGTCCATGTTTGGGCCCAGCGTGAAAAAGGTCACGAGCGTGAAGGAAATCTCAAACATCTCAAACACGGACGAAGAGGCTGCCACCGGCAAGGGCGCAAGTGACGAGGCAACACCTCAGTAAGTGGAGACCGAAGTAGGGTAGTATAGAGGTCCTACGAAGGCTCTCTACTGCAGTTCTCAGCGTTGTCGCCAAGCGATAGCGTTTGTACCGTGAGTGTCGTTCTCGTCGTGCAATCTCCGACTCACGCAGCGAAGCTTGCTGCGCGACCACTTCGGGTGCAACCCAAGGTCGTCTTTTTTGTCGGAGAAATCTGCGCGCGCGAGGGACTTATTTGCTTAGATTTTGCCCTGGGGCCTCCAAGTCAAAGAGCAATTCGCCCACTTTGCAAACGACCTTCTGCAAACCCGCAACCCTCAACCGAGCACTTTTGAGCTATCGGAGTTGTCATCTATCCGGAGCCTCAGGGAATACCCGTTCCACTGCTTCTGCCTCTGCAGTGGAGCATTTACTTCGCCTCACTTGCTGGCTCGACCACGTCTCTTGCACAACCTCTCCCCCGTTAGCTTTCCCTTCTTGTCTTCTTGTTTCACGTCTCATGGTCATAGTATTCTTTCAATACATCATTGGTATACTCTCTCTCTCTCTATAAAAAAAAAATATATATATATATATAGACATACTTGAACGGATCAGCGTGCAGTAGACGGTTGCTTGCGCAGCTTTTCAGCAGCGGTCTGGACACCAGCCAAAAACAGTGGCTCGGGCTGGATTTCGCGCGAAAGGGGGCCTCAAAACCCAGTCAGCTTGACTGACAGGGACCGCCGCAAGGAGAGAGAAAACAAAAGAAGACGAGCTTGGCGTCAGCCAAGCTGCGCGCGCAGAGCACGGTAAGCCCTACCAGAGCCCTAGAGCAAGGTTCCTGTAGTAGGGAATGAAAGGTTGAAGTCCATCCGAGGCGCCCTGGATCTTCGGACTTGGCGGAGACGGAGTTCTAGCCCTGACCGCCCGCCCCACGGTGGTCATGGAGGGTTTGGGATTAGGGTTTAGGGTTTAGGGTTTAGGGTTAGGGCAGAACGCACAGGGCAGGAGTTTAGGGTATAGATATGAGCCGTTGAGAGGCCTTCAGCCGAGGCTCATGAAAAGTTCGGATTTGGATTTGGACTGTTATAGGACTCCTGGGAAAGGCTCCTTGATGTAGAGTGCACTCCGAAACCTGGATTTGTAGGTCAGGATTGTAGCTTGGGGTTTTGGTCCATGGACCTTCAAGTATCCCTAAACCCTAAACCCTGAACCCTAAACCCTGAACCCTAAACCCTAAACCCTAAACCCCTTTGCAGGGCTGCTGTGCGGGATCGGAGACTCGGTCCTCGGTTTAAGGCCCAAAGCCCAACAGGGACCCTTGCAAGGGACCTTAGGGGCTATTTAGGTGCTACTTAGGTATGGGGACTATATAAGAGAGAGAGAGAGAGATAGATAAATAAAATATATATATATAGGGGTTTATTTAGGGTTTAGGGTTCAGGGTTTAGGGTTTAAGGTTTAGGGTTTAGGGATATAAGGTATGGTATAGGGGTTATGGTAGGGGAATAGGATTCAGGGTCCCTTCGAGGGGTCCCTCCTTCGGACCCCGAAGAAAGCCTCAGGCCCGCAAGTCAGGGTGCCGCACGTGGAGGTTCTAGGGTTTAGGGTTTAGGGTTTAGGGTTTAGGGCTTAGGGTTTAGGGTTTAGGGTTTAGGGTTTAGAGTTTAGGGAGGTTCATGGGCACTTACAACATCGGTACGCCGAAGCAAGAAGCGAGGTTCGTGGCACCTGTTAACCAATGATCACCGCACTTATGACTCACTAATAAGCCCCTTAGGTGCCTGAATGTGGTTGCAAGTACAGCTATCAGTACCTAAACCCTAAACCCTAAACCCTAAACCCTAAACCCTAAACCCTAAACCCTAAACAGTTATAATTGGTTAATAAGTACCATGATCCTCCAAGTAGAACCGTCCCCCACTTGAATCACCCTTCTTGGCAGCGCGAAGGTGCCGGGCCCAGAGTCGCGACGTTGGGCAGGCGTAATGTGCACACGTTTAGGGTTTAGGGTTTAGGGTTTAGGGTTTAGGGTTTATGGGTTTGGCGTCTGCCCCCTCAGCCCTGGATAGAAAACCTAAACCCTAAACCCGAAAAGTTCAGATTTGGGCTCGAGTCTGGTCGTCTCAAGAAACTCGATCTCGGACCCCTAAGGTGTTTGTTTGGGCTTGGGGGAACCTTTCCAAGATATCCTACAGGGTGGGGCCCCTAACTGTAGTTAAGGGACTTATAACCTAACTTAGGGTCCTTATAACCCAATTTAGGGCCCTTATAACTCTACTTATAACTAGGGGGCCCCACCCTGTAAGGGAAGAATAGGAGTATATGAAGGGAAGCCTTTTGGGTGTACAAGCTTAGGGGTACCAGTTAGGATGCCTTGCTCATGAAGGGCCAGGAACGACTTTCGGGGGGCCAATGGCAAGGACTATTACTAGTATTCCCTTAAGGGTCCCTTTATGATTAGACAAGAACAAGCCCCTAAACCCAACCCTAAAAAACCGAAACCTTAAACCGTAAACCCAAAACCCAATTCGACTTATTAAGGCCCCTATATAACCCTTAGGTTGGCTAAAGGGAGTGCAGCAGGTCTGAGTCATGTCTGGATCTGTGAGGCTTACTTCCGAGGTCGTTTTGAGTGCCATGGGTAGCCTGGGTTTAGGGTTTACAGTAGGGTTCAGGGTTTAGGGTTTAGGGTTTAGGGTTTAGGGTTTAGGGTTTAGGGTTTAGGGTTTCGGGTTTCGGGTTTCGGGTTTCGGGTTTAGGGTTTAGGGTTTAGGGTTTAGGGTTTAGGGTTTAGGGTTTGGGGCATGCAGAGGTTCATTGTTGGGCATGTATAAGCAGGATTAGAAGTGGTTTAGGGTTTAGGGTTGTACCCACAGCTCCCCTGCTTAGAACCCTTTCATATGAACCTCCAAGTAGTTGCTTCTTGTCAGGGGCACTCGGCGTCTTAACTAGGAAGGTCGGACACTTTGCATTTTCTCCTCTTGTGTCTTGAGGCATCCTTCCTCCAGACCCTCAGTCATAAAGTGTCTAGGGCCAACCAGAATTTAGCACACCGCCGCGGTCCGACCCGACAAACAGTCCAAAAAAGTGCGGCCGCTGGAAATCCATCTGTCTAGCACCCTCTTGAAGCTCCAGACCCTCGTACACCCTGAACGTTAAACCTAAGCAAGCCTTGCCAATCCAACCCAAAAGCTGAAGCCCTTTCTCCCCAAACCGTCTACCCAAAAACGCTAAACCCTAAACCCTAAACCCTAAACCCTAAACCCTAAACCCTAAACCCTAAACCCTAAACCCTAAACCCTAAACCCTAAACCCTAAACCCTAAACCCTAAACCCTAAACCCTAAACCCTAAACCCCAAACAAAACCCTATGACACATCAAGCCCTAAACCCTAAAACCGGCAAGTCCTGAACACCACAAACCGAGCCTGGAAGCTGAATCCAGCTCCGTAATCCCAAGGTTGCTGTGAAAAAGCATAAACCCTTCAACCCCCAAAACCGCTCTTTCCTTGCTCAAGCTTAGGGAAATTGGGTTGAGGGTGTCTCAGGAAGCTGACAGGTCAGGGTGTCCAAGGCCACTAGTGTTTCGCGTTGAAGAAGCCCTAAACCCCGAACCCTATAAACACCCCAAACCTTGAACCCTGAACCGTAAGCCCTAAGCCCTAAACCCGAAACCCTCAACCCGAAACCCTCAACCTTGAACCCTAAACCTTGAACCCTAAACCCTAACCCTAAACCCTAAACCCTAAACCCTAAACCCTAAACCCTAAACCCTAAACCCTAAACCCTAAACCCTAAACCCTAAACCCTAAACCCTAAACCCTAAACCCTAAACCCTAAACCCTAAACCCTAAACCCTAAAACCCCTAAACCCTAAACCCTAAACCCTAAACCCTAAACCCTAAACCCTAAACCCTAAACCCTCAGCCGCAGCCCGAAGCCCTAAGTCCGAGAGGGTGCAGCATGCTCTTAGCTCGGAAGCGAGCTGCGGAAGCCTCGGCCGGAGGCCTTTTCAGAGCTGTCTACGGCTTCCAGGCGCCCAGAGAAGTTATGAAACCTTAGGGTTTAAGGTTTAGGGTTTAGGGTTTAGGGTTAGGGTTTAGGGTTTAGGGTTTAGGGTTTAGGGTTTAGGGTTTAGGGTTTAAGGTTTAGGGTTTAGGGTCTACTAAACATCAGACCCCCCAGGACACCCCAGCCCAGGATGCAAAAAAAAAACGGCACACCCCTTGAGACCCTGATGAGCTTTGTGGTGCTTTACTGTAACTTTACATCTTTAGCCTTTTTTGGGTTTATTGGGCTTCTTAATGAGGCAGCTAAAAGTTTAACTTTTTGCTGCCCTCCTAAGTGCAGCCAAGTCAGGTGCTCCGAGGATGGGGTGCAATCTTCCAAGAAGACCTGTCCCCGAATGCCGAGTACAGCTTCCCGGTTGAGGAGGCGGGGGGTTTAGGGTTTATTAGGGTTTAGGGTTTAGGGTTTAGGGTTTAGGGTTTAGGGGTTAGGGGTTTAGGGTTTAGGGGTCTTGCATGGACGTTATCGTGGGTCCTTACTACAAGGGGATCGATGATTTTTGGGGGTCTATCCTCGGGGTCCCTTGTGATCGTAAACCCGCAGGTAAGCATCTTCATCAGCCACTCTTGGACATCAGACCAGTGGTCCAAGTATCTTTATCATAGTGGGGTAACATTTTACATTTTTAAGGGTACTTAAACTCAATAAGGAATAAAATTTTTAAAATTTTATTACTATCCCAACTATGAACCAGGTATGTTGCGCTGTGCTACGCACTGAACCGCCAGAAGATGTATGTGGCCGGAGCAACGGTCACCATCCTCATGGTGGGAACATATGTGTCGCGAGATGCAAAGCTCTTTCTGAGCAGCAGTATCCAATGGCTCCCTACCGTCACATTCTTGCTGGTGATGTGCATGATGTGCTTGGTTTTCTTTTTCGGGCAACATCTGAGCTGCAGAGAGTTTGGGCCAACTTTCTGGCTAGACAAGCTCTGCATTCACCAATCCAGCACAACAGAGAAGCTTAGTAGTAGAGTAGGTAACCTTTAACCTTTTTGGGGTAATATATTCCCCTTATAATCCCAAAGGTTAACCATTAAAACCCCTAGGTACTGGACAACTAAGGAAGGCTCAGGCCATCCAGGCGCTCCCAGGTTTCGTCGAGCGCTCCTCACAGCTACTGATACTCTGTGGTACTTTACTGTAACTTTAGATCCTGACCTTTTTAAAGGGTTTATTGGGTTTTCTTATTAAGGCAGCTAGAAGTTTAAGTTATAGCTACCTTTTCCTAGTGCAGCCTTAAGGATACTCTATGATGACACTTACTTGGAGAGATTATGGTGCATCACGGAGCTGGCTTTCTTCATCCGAAGCTCTGGGAGCGAAAAGATCCACTTCGTGCCATTGCGGCTACCGAGCTGGCTTGTGAAGACGCAGCTTTTGAACTTGCTCTCCACTTCTGTGCTTTCCTTGACGGTCACGTTTCTTCAGGCGCAAGAAGCCTTTGCGCAGCAAGTGCTCTCGCAAGATGCCGGGTGGAACCACTTTCTGATGTACCTCTCCTATAGTTTGCCTACCGTCGCAAGCACCTTGGCCGTCCTGGTGCCTTCCATGCGATCCCTCGTGGAACAGTCGCAGGCCCATCAGCAAATGCTGCAGCAGCTTGATGCCTTCGATGTTCGTCGCTGCAAGTGCTCAGAGGAGTCATAGTTGGGTACCATTTTACATTTTTAAGGGTACTCAACCCCAATAAGTAATAAAATTCTTAAGGGCACCTAACCCCAACAATGAACTAGCAGAGGAGGCGGACCGCCTCCTGCTCGAGGAACTGATTGCAGACCTCTTTGACGCCATGGACGAGCCTGTTCTAAGCGTTCCCATCCATACCTCACACTGGGAGGAAGGAGAGCCCGAAGCAGGCCCTCTCCTGGAAGCTCCCATGGACGCCGCAACAAAAGAGCGCTTACGCTCATGCACCGGCTACCCGCCGAAGGAGGCTGGCTTAGACGTCTTCAACGATTATGTCCGAGGCCCACTACGCGAAGCTCTCGTAGACAAACTGGGCGCTGACACCTTCCTGACTTGGCGAATGTGCTTTGCTGCCTTTATGCCTTACATCTTTTACTGTCTGGCGATGTCTCTTGAGGAGCTCCTCTTAGTTGAGGTATCTAATCTAACTCTTGGGATCCAAATGTGGGCCTTATGTTTAGCTCAGTGGCTGATTCTCGTTTGTGGCATCCTGCCCCTGTTTCCTTTGTATCTGGAAGTTGCGCGGGCAGTCGACAGCGCCCTGGACCCCGGTATTCTGCAGAAGCTGCTCATGAGCCTCATGGGCTCTGTTTCTTTGTCATAGTTGGGCAGCATCTTACATGTTTAAGGGTACTTAAAACCCAATATGGAAAAATTTTTGAATTTTCAAGATTATCCCGACAATGAACTAGGTCTTGGCGGTTCTTCAAATCACGCTTGGCATTGCGACTGGCGGAGCCCTGGAGACGGCAGTCTTCATGCACTCATCCATGTGGCTGTCGATGTTCTTCATCCTACTGAGCCTCCTGGTGGCCGTGTTCGCCTACCACTTCTGGAAGGATGTTGCTTCGTGGTGCTTTACTGTAACGTTACATCTTTAGCCTTTTTGGGGTTTATTGGGTTTCTTAATAAGGCAGCTAAAAGTTTCATTTTTTGCTCCCCTCCTAAGTGCAGCCAAGGTTGCTGGACACTGTGGGCGTCAGAAGCTTTGGTGGCCGCTCAGCACAAGGTGCTGTTGCTTCCGACGGCCATGACGCACGAAGCACAATGCGGAGCCCAGTAAAAAGAATCTTGCCGGGAGCGCACCTCTGTAAAAAAAATGAAAGGCGATGATCCGAACCCAGACGGCTTCGGGGCCCTAAAATTGGGGCCATATACCCTGTACTGCTACAATCCTTATTCAGGTCTTATGTGAACCATAATTAGCCCTAAAGCCCCAAGCCCTAAACCCATCACCCTTTTAGGGTTCGTTTGGTCCGGCATTCGATGAGCACATCTCTCAAGGACCAGATGCAGCCGGATAGCCCCGTAAGGCCCTGGGTGTACGTAGAAGACCTAAGCCGTAAGTGATACCAAGTGCAGACATGCCAGGACGGCTGCCCCAGACCCAGGGTTTCGGGCCCAGAATGGGGGTCTGGGCCAGAAGACCGCCGCGTGGGGAAGGGGGGCAACTGTGGTACACGTGGGATTGCTGTCATCCCCATCGTCGGAGTCCAACCTGTAACAAATGATGGAGGACTGCCTTAATGATCCTTAATGGGCCCCAAAATGTGGGTCCCGCAAACCTTTTTTTCCAAAAGGGGGTTTGCCCTGGCCACTTGGGGGGGCCCCGAAAGCAGAAGCACTTGATGCGGCTCTGCATCGTGAATTTGGCCAGGTCTAGGAGTCCCACCAACCCCTAAACTTTAGAACCTTTAAAGCCTCAAACCGTAAACCATAAACCCTATAAACCCCTAGTTTGAGTTCCAAATCTGGGGACCTTCAAAGCCTTAAACCCTAAACCCTAAACCCTAAACCCCTATTTTGTAAACCCTAAACCCTAAACCCCCTATTTTGTAAACCCTAAACCCTAAACCCCTATTTTGTAAACCCTAAACCCTAAACCCCCTATTTTGAGTTCCAAATCTGGGGTCGGCCAAGGCCAAGTGGGCGCGGTCATTTGGGGGAGCTTAGAATGCTATCTCTTCTTTGTGGTGCTTTACTGTAACTTTAAATCTTTAGCCTTTTTGGGTTTGTTGGTGCTTTACTGTAACTTTACATCTCTTTAGCCTTTTTGGGTTTGTTGGGTTTCTTAAGAAGGCAGCTAAAAATTGAATTTATAGCTACCCTGCTAAGAGCAGCTATCTCTTGGCATGGTTTTGGGGCCCGAACCTCGCTCTCTACTACGAACACTGGAGCTTGGGGTGACCTTTTCTTGCCCCACTAAGCAACACATCAAACTGCACAGCGCCTGGCTTCGTGACACCTAACGTGAGGCAACAACTCTAAATGGGCAATGAGTTTTGAGGGCTTGTTCCTCACACATGTACGGGCAACCGTGGCAAATTATAAGTGGAATGACCTGCCCGTAAGGTTGGGGCAATGCACACTCGGCATCACTCACCCAACTAAGCCTAAACCCCGAACGGCTGATCTTCCCACCCATGGGTAGGATGATCCGGCTCCGTTCGCTCACGGGCGGAGTAAGCAAAGTGCCTGCAGAAGGTGAGCAGCGCGAGAGCCTGCACGTTCCCGCCCAAACTCAGTAATGGGGTTTGGATTCGAGGCGATTCCTGACTGGCATCATTCACCAACTCCCCACAAAGCTTGGGCAACACCTGGCCAGGGGGACTAACAGTGAGTCATCACGACTCAGTGCCACAAAAGTTGCATGCTGCGGAAGGCCATCCCTCCTGAAAGGAAGCTCTGGAAAAATCCGGTGTGCCTAGGCCTCGGGGTCCTATAGGCCCGCCAGGAGTTTTCTGTTCAGCACCAGGTGGATTGCGTTCCCCAACTTGGCTGATTGTGTCCCTGTCCTCCAAAACGAACCCCAGCGATCCCAAATGCAATGCAGGGGGGGTGGGGGGGGGTCATGGCGGTGTTGTTGCCTCGCCCAAGCATGTGGCTCATCCTCTTTGTGTGTACCAACAAGCATGGAAGGAAACAGTGGACTGCACATACTCCCTGAATCCGAATCCCTTGCAGGCACACACAAAAACTCGGAGATCTGTTGCACGCAAGCAACAAAGAAAGTCCTTGAACTGATAGCTACTTCTAAGAACAGTGGGCTACAGCACCTACAGTCTGAAATGCTAGTTGTGCTGTACACTATACAAGCTTGGAAGCACGCTCAAGGCTTACTTCTTGGGCCTAATGAGCAAAAAGGAATGCAACGGGTCAGCATATGCACTGCGACTGCAACTACAGGCATGGACAGCTACTGCATGTCATCCCTGACCCTAAACCCTCCGCTTGCTAGCTCGCTTTTCGGGGCCAGGAGCCTGAAGCGTCTACTCCCTGAACCCCAAACGCCAGAAATCAAGAGCCAGCCTAAACTACTAATTGCTTAAGAACCCAGAAAAAAGAAGATAATCTGAGCACTGCTGTGGGTACTCGCGTCCTTGACAAAGCATTTAGCGACTCAGCATGTTTGTGTCAGTATGGAGTCAGGGTCCTTGTCCGCAGCCTTTGACTCGAAGCCCCAGCTGGGGGCAAAGACTTTGGCCGTCTTTTGCGAAAGGCACATTGCTTCTCAATCCCATGGTGCGTTCCCTCGCAGTGGCTGTGGTGTTGCGTCTGTTGCTCTTCTTCCCAGCATCGGCCCGCCGTCAAAAGGAGAATGGGCGCCAGGCTATGGAGGAGGCATCGGATGCGGCATCAGAGGCCGCAGTCCATGAAGCAAAGTTTGATTCGGAGTTTGCTGCTTCGCCGGCTCAGCGCGAGACGCCGCCGGAGCTGGAGCAGTGGCTAGCTGATAGCTGGCAAGTGGGCTTGAACGCCTCGGAGGCGCACCGCCTGGCCCTGCGTGAGTTTGACAGCCTCCAGAAATGTGGCGCGACACTTCCGTATCTCAAGAAGCTGTACGCCGTGCTCAGCAGCCGCTTCAAGATGGGCCTCTCCACGAATGATGCGGTGGCCAAGACGTTCGTCTACGCGAAGAAGCAGCTGGACCCAGATGAGGTCTACGGGATGTATTCTACCCTCAAAAGCAGCTCACGGCTTGCGATGAGCAGGGAGGAAGCGCTCGCAAGGGCTCCGGAATGTGTTGAGATGGGCGCGTCTGAAAGGGAAGTTTGGTTGTTTTACGAGTTCTTTGACTTCGTAGCAGATACGGGTCTCCGCTTGAACTCGCCATCCAGCAGGCCAAAGGCCATGCAGTTGGCCTCCGCTGCTTGTGAGTTCGCGAAGGTCAAAGAGGCCTGGGACGCTACACGCAACATGACGATGGCCATCGACACTTTGTGGTGCTTTACTGTAACTTTACCTCTTTAGCTTTTTTGGGTTTAATTGGGTTTCTTAATAAGGCAGCTAGAAGTTTACTTTTTTGCCACCCTCCTAAGTGCAGCCAAGGACGAAGGCTGCTTAGGAAGCCTTGATGGCCAACTGCGCATTACAGAGGAGGGCAAGCTGCACACGGCAGCACAGTTTGTTGGTTCATGCATTCTGTTCTGGTTTTTTTCTCCCAGAAGCGTTGCGAAGGGATTTTCTCCACAGGCTGTTGTGATTGTTGCGTAGAATGGTGGTATTGATGCTTCTGACGCAGCAGTAGGTCGCTTTGCCTTGTGTGCCTTTTGCCTTCTTGACTTCAAGCAGAGTACAATCATTACGTGTAACAGGCAGGGGGCCAAATTGCGACCTTCCCTAAACCCCAAACCCCAAACCCCAAACCCCAAACCCCAAACCCTAAACCCTAAACCCTAAACCCTAAACCCTAAACCCTAAACCCTAAACCCTAAACCCTCTCTGTTTCTTCTTGGCGGGTCGTGCATCGTCTCAATACAAAACGTACGCGAAAAGGCTGTAAGAGGCCTCCCAAAGCTCCTGGCCGGGAGACTCGTTGGGTTTAGGGTTTAGGGTTTAGGGTTTAGGGTTTGGGGTTAGGGGTTTAGGGTTTAGGGTTTAGGGTTTAGGGTTTAGGGTTTAGGGTTATTGTTTAGGGTTTAGGTGCACATGCAGTACACGAATTACACGAGTTGGCTCCTTGAGGCCTCCCAAGCAACCCCGGGTCTCGAAACTTGTTGTGTGAAAATTCTATACGGCATCTGCTAACAGGTCCTTAATAGGGATGATAATGGGGGCTCTCCTGGCCTCGCAACTCGTTGCTCTGTACCCTAAACCCCAAACCCCAAACCCCAAACCCCAAACCTTATAAACCCTAAACCCTAAACCCTAAACCCTAAACCCTAAACCCTAAACCCTAAACCCTAAACCCTTGCTTTGTAAGTTCAGAACACAGAACACGAGAATGGTTCTCCGCGGCTCTCCGCGGCCTCCCAAAATCGCATGGGGATCGAAACGTTTTCTACTTGTGGGATGTTCCCCCTTATACTAACAGTCCGTTTTGGGGATGAGAATAGGGGCACTATGATCCTCATCAAGGATTGTTAGTATAAGGGGGAACAGTAGACCGCGCGGACACGTCCCACATCACGTGGGGTCGTGGTGTTTGTTTCTCTCCACTCGCGCGTGCAAAAAGAAGTCGCAAGTCATATCAGATCGCAGTTTTCCATTGGTGCAATAAACGAAACGTCGCACTTCGCATAGTGCAGTGCGTGCGACAACATTGCAAACCACGTGCAGTCGCAACGTTTGCCACTTCTGGTGCTTGTGGATCGTACGAGCGTGCGCACCGCGATCATAGCAACATAAGCCCTTTGGCTTTGATGTTGGAACCCCGTACTGAATAGTGTAGAGTAGGCCGGGGACCTGTTCTTCTTTTGCTCTCCAAACCATGGCAAAACCAGGTTCCATGATTTCTTTGGGAGCAGCTGGCTGGATGAGTGGATCAAGAGCCCTCCTGCACAGAAGGTGGCCGATGATGGCAAAGCCTACACAGCCTCCCAGGTCAAAAGACTTTATTCGGGTTGGCTGCGCGACCTTTGGGGCGGGCCGAATTGGCTGCATCTTGGTCGTGCATTCGGACCAAGCATTGCCACATCAAATCTTTCTTGAAAACGATACATTAAACACTATACATCTTGTGTAATATATAGTATAGAACATCAGGCATATCATACAATACATATATGCTATATAGATAGAATACGTTGCAATGGACCTCCCCCCCCCCACCCCCCGGTATGGCTGAGGTCTCGGTGGAATGCCGCAGGCTTTGCAACTCAGAAGCGCATTGCCGAGGATGGACAGGTCTACAGCATGGGCGGCTTCGCGGGACACTACGGCGCCAGCTGGCGACAGAACCTTTACATCTTCCAGAACTTTAAGTGCCCTTAGAAATTTCCGGAACTTTAAGTGCCCTTAGAAATTTCCGGTTCTATACAGCACTCTGCGTTCTCTGCAGAGACGACAGGAAGGTAGTAACCCTTAAACCCTAAGCCCTTAAGCCCTCAACCCTCAAAGAAAGTCTACACCCGGCTTCAAGGAAGTGGGCGGAGGCTGCGGTGGCGCTCTGCGAAGAATGCAAAGCAGCCACCCACTCCTGATGCACAATACTGGTGATATAATCATTTTTCGTTGTTACAATTATTCCTGGTATTGTTGCTATTAGTATTGTTATGTTTACAATCTGCACAGTTTACATACCATGTCACTATTGATACTACAATAACTAATGAAAACATGCAACACTTATTGATGCTAATACTCCTGAGAGAGCGACGAGACAGCGGGGGCCAGAAAGACGGGGGTGGGTACATTTTTACTGGGCTTTTGCTACGGAACTGAACAAGTTAGTTACCATAATAAGTGTACTATACAGGGTTTAGGGTGTTGGGCTTTAGGGTTCGGGGTTTAGATTTGGGGTTCTTGTTAAGGAACGGAAATTATGTTAACGCATTAGGTTAACGCATGTTAACGCAATAGGTTACATCGCAACTAATATAGTACCCGTATTTTGTAACTGAATTTAGGTTCCCGAAAAGTGCCCTAAAGCCTAAACCCTACACCTAAGCCACCCTAAGCCCGTTCTAGTACCCGACCATTTCTATGGTAGCTGGTTTAGTTGCCAGATGTCGATGAGCGCTACCATAATTTTTGGTATGTCTCAAGACTTGGTGCCAACCAGGGGTCCCTCATTTCGACCCCAAACCAGTAGAATTCAGGGTTTAGGGTTTAGGGTTTAGGGTTTAGGTCCGTCCTTGCAGAAGTCTGCCCAGCTGCAAACGCCTTGGGGACGGGTTGAAGGTTTGCTTTTTCCTCAATGCGCTGCGGTGCATCATCCGAATGAGATGCATCGCTCAGCAAAGGGCAGATCAGCCAGCCAAGAAGACGCATTAGGGTTTAGTGTTATAACCACAGTTGAGTCCGAAAATGCGACCGCTGGAGATGTATGGGTCTAGTTTAGGGTTTAGGGTTTAGGGTTTAGGGTTTAGGGTTTAGGGTTTAGGGTTTAGGAACCCTAAACCCTAAACCCTAAACCCTAAACCCTAAACCCCAAGCAAGCCTTGCCAGGGCGACCGCCATGACAAAACGACGCCATCACCGTGCCGCCGCTGCAGGTCGAAGACGTCCGTGTAGGGCTTCGGGAACTTCGGGTAGTCCTAAACCCTAAACCCTAAACCCTAAACCACCCTTAGCCTGGGTGGGTGTTGGGATGGCCTCGATTTTTTCTCTTTCCCACATGGAGAAGCCGCGTTCATGCAGATATGTCCAGGAAAGTGCTGGAAACGTTCATGGTACTTAGTATCTAGATATAACTGTACTTAGAACTGTACTTACAGCCATATTAGGGCACTTAAGGGGCTTATAAGTGGGTTATAAGTGCAGTTATGATTCGTTGCTAAGTACCATGAACCTCCAAGTAGGGTTTATAAGGCCTCTGGGACTTAGTGGGGTTTAGGGCTTAGGGGCTTAGGGCCTTAGGGCTTTAATGGGGTTTATCAATTGGCTTCACCGAGAGGTGATCTGGTTTCCAGCAAACGCCTTCCAACCTCGAAGGGTGGGGGGGGGCGTCATGCCTTGACAAGCCTTGTGCTGGCAATTTGAGATTGTCCGCAACCACCCACCCCCAAACCCTAAACCCTAAACCCTTATGCAGCTCCCTGGTGATTCGTTGCTGATTTTTAGCTCCCAGCTAAGAGGGCATCGGGCCCGTCGTCTTAGGCCATGTTTCGGTGGACTCGGCTGGCCTTGCCCCGCGGCCTTCGAGCTTTGAATGGAGGGCGGCTGGGGGCCCTGGCCCTGGGCACTTCGCTGGGAGTGGGAAGCACCTGGAGCTGGGATAAAGGGCTGAAAGGGCTGAAAGGGCTGAAATCCTCATGCGAAGAGAGGCCAGCAGCTGGCCCTCGCGCGAAGTTTGTGGAGCTCACGGCCGCGGAGATCCGCCGGCATGAGAAAGTCTCCAACTTCTCTGCATGCCGCCTTCAGGGTGGGTCGTTGTGCTGCTCTTGGGTGCACACACGAGGGCGCCTCGACCCGCAAAGCACGGACGGCGGCAAAGATCTTCTGATGATGAGAGACGGCGAGTTCCCTCAGGTGGCCACTAGGCCCTTAAGGGGGAATATCCTTACATTTTCCCTATTATGGAGTTTAAGAGGATCAGGAGCCGAGGAATATTTTCCCAGATTTTTGCTCAGGGGCCAGCCCTAAACCCTAAACCCTAAACCCCAAGGTCATCAGCGGTGCAGAAAGCTTGTCTGACGCAGCTTTTAGTCCTGATGGGGACCACTTCGTCATCCAGAGTGGAAAGAGCTTGTTCCTTGCCTCTGCAGACAATCTTTAAGCTTTTTGGTTCACCTTTTCCCTAAACCCTAAACCCTGAACCCTGAACCCTGAACCATGCCCTTTGATGCAGGGGGTGGGGGTTGCTTGGAATGTTGCACTAGCGTGAAGCCTGCTGCCGCAGAGAGTGCTTGCAGAAACCCTAAACCCTAAACCCTAAACCTAAACCTGGGCTAACCTTACTCAGCCCCCAAGGTTGGTGGGATGCATGTCCTCATCTCCTCGCTGCTGCTTCACCTGCCCCAGAGACGAAAAGTTCGAAGGTCAAGTTGTGTGGGCACGAGACGATGTGATACTTTTCGCAACCTCGGGCGGCTCCCCAAATCGCACACGGCTCTATGCCATTCAGCCCCCAAAGCCGGCCATGCGGGGTGAGGAAGACGGCGCTGGAGAGCGCCATCTTCTGTTCACTGCGGAACACGGGGGCAGCCTGCTTTCATGGGATCACTCGCCCACAGAGCAGCTTAGTAGTAGAGTAGGTAGCCTTTAACCTTCTTGGGTCAACATCTTCCCCTTACACTCCCAAAGGTTAACCTTTAAAAACCCCTAGGTACTGGACAACTAAGGCAGATTGTGGCGGTCGTTCATCGACTTGCAAATGCCTGGCTTGCGGAGGTCGTCGTGGTCACTGGGAGCCCATCCGAGCCGCTGCCACCGCGCACCGTTGCTTAGAAGTAGAGTAGGTTACCTTAGTAGGTAGCATTGAACCTTTTTGGGTAAATATGTTCCCCTGAGGGTTTAGGGTTTAGGGAGTAGGCATCCTTTATAACCTTTTTGGGTGAATTTAATCCCCTGAGAATCCCAAAGGTGAACCTTTAAGACCCATACGTACTGGACAACTAAGGTTGCCGTGGATGGCCGTGTTGAGTATTGCAAGCCCCAAGTCGCCTTCCTCGCCGATGGCCGCATCTTGGCAAGGCTCAATCTGGTAAAAGGTCAGCAAACGTCTTCGGGCATCGACATGAGAAGCCCTCCACCTGTGATTCATGGACTCTGGACCATTCGGCTCAATGGTCGTGAGGATGTGATTGAGCCTGTTAGCGCTTGGGCTGGTTTGGCCCATGGCCGCTATGATGTTTGCAGTGGAAGCTACGCAGGAGGTCATGGTGTGAATGAGGGCTTCGTCTTAGACCGCGAGAGGAAGCGCGTTGCATTGACTGCAAGGGCACAATCTCCAGAAACCGCTGCTGATGAACTTCGGACAGTGGACTCTAAATCCCCCTTGGGAATTATTTTCTATTTCTGTTTATACAAAACCCAAGAGGAAACATTTAAAACAATCTGTTTATTGAGGTTCTAAGGGGAATATAGGACTTCACCAAGCCCAGCGGCGCCTTGGATCACACCAGCGCAAGAGTCGCCGCGCCACCTGGCAAAGGTTGCCATGTTCCCGTGTTTTTCGATGGCCAGGACATCGTGTACCACTTCCGGAGTCCAACAGAGTGGGGTGACTTGTGGTTAGCAAGCCCCCTGAAGACGCAGAGCTCAAAGCGACTGACTTGGACCATGCCAAAGTCGCTGCAGGAGAAGCTGATCACCCCCACAGAGGTCGCCATCCCAACTGCTGCGGGTGGTCAGGTCCACGCACTGATGTATTTTCCCACGAATGGAGGGTCATCTCAAATGCAGCCACTCGTTTGGGTTCACGGTGGACCTATGACTGTGATGTCTTTTGATTACAACCCTCTCTTGGCATGGCTGGCCAACTTGGGATATGTTGTTTGCGTGCCGAACTTCAGGGGCTCCACGGGGTTCGGAGTTGACCACATGGACGCTGTCCTTGGAGATGGTTGCTTAGTAGTAGAGTTGGTAACCTTTAACTTTTTCGGGGTAGTATATTCCCCTCATAATCCCAAAGGTTAACCTTTAAAACCCCTAGGTACTGGACAACTAAGGTTGTGGGACGGCAGACCTTTCAGACTGTCGGGCGTGTGCGGAATACCTGAAGCTGGGATGCCCCAGTAGTACCCTTCTACCCTTTTTGGGGGGGAAGGGGGGGTTTTAGGTTCCCTTATAAACCCCTTTAAGCAAAAGAGGGCACCCTTTTGTTAATCCTACTTGGAGGTTCATTCATGGTACTTACTAACCAATTAAAAACTGGACTTATAACTGTACTTATAACCCTTTTAGGGCACTTAAGGGGCTTATAAGTGGATTAGAAGTACAGTTAGAATTGGTTAATAAGTACCATGAACCTCCAGGTAGGTCACTGGGCAACCTAGGAAGTCAATGGCGGACCCAGGTGTAGACACTTCCCGCGGGGTAGCTGTGGCTGGACACTCCTGGGGTGGCTTGGTAGCCCAGCGCGTGCCCTTTTGCCCTTCTTTTTGGTTCTAGGTTCCCATGTAAGGAGGCCAACCCCCCAAAAAGGGACTCTTATTGATAAAAGTGGCTTCTGGGCTACCAAGGTGGGTATTTGGCACTCATGGCTATGGTTGGTGCTCCAGAAGGTCCTAAGCCTGGCGTTTTCAGTTGTGGCATAGCTGCTGCCGGTATTTCTGATTGGTTCCAGCAGCAGCGCTACACAGAGGTGCGCTACTATGACTATGCAATCATGGGCGGCTGGGTGTATGAGGCCAATGTCATGGAGCGCGCTCGCCGTGCTTCGCCCTTGACTCATGCCTCCAATCTGAGTGCACCTCTTTTGGTGCTCCATGGCGAGGGAGACATTGATGTGCCCTTTGTGCAGATCGGTCCATTTGTGGATGCGGCCAAGAAGTCAAAGCATCCTGGGGCTGCGGTTGAATTTGTCACCTACCCAGGGGAAGGGCACGGTATGTCGGGCACAGCTGCTCAGAAGGACGTTCTTCAGAAGATCAAAGACTTTCTGCGAATCAATCTGAAGCCCTGGGACTTCACTGACAATCCGCATGGTGAGCTGACTACGTACTAGGCAGAGCTGGACGCATGGGTGGCCATGCGTGGCGAGCACAGTATGAGGGGTGACAGAAACTACAAAAAGAGCGCCGGTCTTTGCAGGGTATTGTGTTTAGGGTTTAGGGTTTGAAACTCGATGGTCCCCTTGATCCTTGAGGTCTCATGGCTGAGATTTACAGGGTGGGGCCCCCTAGTTATAAGTAGAGTTATAAGGGCCCTAAATTGGGTTATAAGGACCCTAAGTTAGGTTATAAGTCCCTTAACTACAGTTAGTATAGTAAGGGGGCCCCACCCTGTAGAGTTTCCTGCACGGTCCCTTTTGGGTGTAAGCATCGACCATATTACCCGAAACGCCGCAGAAAGGACGGTGCTGGGCGCTTGTCCGTCAGCATGGTTGTCCCAGTAGCTGTCCTCGACATCACTGTAGCTGGTCCTTAGCATCGGCGTGTCCGAAACGCGAAATCCTTAGCCCTGATGGGTACATGGACCCCTTTTTGACAGGGCATCCATCTTCCAATCTTCCTCCTGCCGCCCTCGCACGATCACCTTGCACTGCCAGACTTGGCCACACGGCTGCGTAGCAGAGGAGGCAGGGGGCCGGGGGGGTTGGGCTTAGGATGTAGGGTTTTGGGGTTTAGTCTTGTACTGTATATATGTAGATGTGCCCGTACATGCCTCTCTCATTTTCATATCTTTACATACACACAAAGGATACACACGTATTTAACTAGATACATGGGAAATGCAGAGATAGGGGGCTGGTTGAGGCTTGAGGGGTGCAGGCTAAGGCTGTATGTGGTCCAGCGTAGGGATGGACATGGCAAGCCTTTGTGAACGCCATCCTAAACCCTAAACCCTAAACCCTAAACCCTAAACCCTAAACCCTAAACCCATCACGCCCTGAGGTAGGTGAGAAAGGCCTGGAGGGTCAGAAGGCAAGCTCTTCATGTGGGAATTAGGCCCTCCATGAAATTCAGAGTTATAAGGGAGGAGGGATATACCCTATTCGCCACCTGAAGCTGTGGAATCTCAAAGGTGCAACAACCCGGGGTGCTGCACACGACGGCACTTCTGCAGTGTGGAGCACAGGGTTTTCTCCCAAACGTGGTTTTCCCTGTGCTCTCATTGTATTCAACACGGGTTTAAGGGTGTCCTTGTGCAATCATGGTACAAGGAGCTTTTGCAACAACCCTGTCCTTCGGGTTGGCCCCAATTTGAAGCCATCTTCCAGTGGGTAGCATAAAGGAGGCTGTAAATGAGGCTAAGCCTCATTGACCATGCCGGGTGCAACACTTAAGACAGCTTCGGCTGTCAAAAAAAGAGGGAAGAACGTGCTTTGGCTCAAGAAGGCATTGGCCCAGATTGCACCACAACTGGGCAAAGCCCAGTAAGCATGGAGAGCTCGGCGTGCGACGCCGATGTCGCCATCGAGAAGGTGGGCATGGGCCGTGGGCAATGGATTCTTTTCTCCCTCGTCGCACTCCTCCTTCTGGCTGATGGGGTGCAGCTGTTATACCTCTCCTATGTCACCAGGGTCCTGCAGGTAGAGTGGCACTTGAGTGCAGAAGAAGAGGCCCGGATCATTTCCATGGTGTTCTGGGGCGAGGTCCTTGGCGCCCCAGTGTGGGGCATTCTCGCTGACAGGGTCGGGCGGCGGCCCGCGTTCTTGTGGTCAGCCCTGGTGATCTCCGTCGCAGGCTTCGCCGCAGCCCTTTGCCAGAGCGTGCTCCATCTTACCCTGGTGCGGGCTGCCGTGGCCTAGTAGTAGAGTAGGTAACCTTTAACCTTTGTTTGGGTAGTAGAATCCCCTTAGAATCCCAAAGGTTAACCTTGAAGTCCCCCAGGTTATTGGACAACTCCCTAAACCCTAAACCCTAAACCCTAAACCCTAAACCCTAAACCCTAAACCCTGTCACTGGACAACAAAGGTGGGCTTCAGGGTTTAGGGTTTAGGGATCCTCAGTTTTTTTGTTGGAAGCAACTATACTTGCAAGTAGTTGTATCATACATGGTAGAAGTTAGAGCAATGGAACATCGTCTCCATGACCCTTAGAGTGGGTTTCTTGTGTTAGAACCCTAAACCCTAAACCCTAAACCCTAAACCCTAAACCCTAAACCCTAAACCCTAAACCCTAAACCCTAAACCCTAAACCCTAAACCCTAAACCCTAGCCCCCCTTTTAGGCTTCCAAGGATCCATCTACAGTACCTTCGTGGCCTCGCGCATTTTGGAGCCTTGCGGTTGGCAGGCCTTCACTGCCACCTTGCTTTTATAAAAGCCTTGGGGGCACATGTGCCATATGTAGGGGGGTGGTTTAGGGTTTAGGGTTTAGGGTTTAGGGTTTAGGGTTTAGGGTTTAGGGTTTAGGGTTGGGCAGAGGCCTTGTGCCATCCAAGATTTCTGCAACCCCCCAAAGCGGGGGTTGGCCACTCTGCTCAAGTCACGCTCACCTCGTTCCTCCTGACTCGCGTGCCTACTGCCAGTTGGCTTTGCGCACACTGCAAACCCGCCCCGTTTGCAAATACTGATGAAGTACTGTGCTCACTGTTTTTTTGGAGATAGGCTCGGGGGTGGGCCAGGGGGGGTCCCGAAAGATGGCGGAGGGTATTTTTCAGCAGAGGTGGTTGTCGTTAAAGATGGATGACATGATGAATGATGCCTGGATGGATGGTCGCGAGACTGCGTGTGGCCGGGGTGTCGCCATCGCGTGAACACCAACCCTCTGCGTGGACGCGTGGTGTCGCGTCGCGAGAACGACGACCCTCTGCGTGTGCCTGGGATGTCGCGTGGCGTGAACGCCAACCCTCTGCGTGTGCGCGATCTGCGTCTGCGCCGAACCCAGCGGAACTCCCGCGGAAATCCGCGCTTGGACCATCGCTCCGGGTTATAACCACACCGGGCAGATAGCTTGCTTAGTAAGTGACTTAATGAGTTGCTGAAGATAGGTTGTAAGTGGTCTCAATAACGGGGGGGGGGGGGGGGGGGGGGGGGGGGGGGGGGGGGGGGGGGGGGGGGGGGGGGCGCAGCCCCCACCCATTTGCAAGCACCGCGCCCTCAGTCTGCAAAAGCTTTCCATACAAATCAAGAATTTAGGTTACAAATTGCCGAAATTTTCACCTAAACTAAACTAAATAACCACAAAAGCATTTTTTACAAACCTAAGAAAGGCGTCTGAAACTCTTGTGAGAAAACCCAAAATGCGAAGAAAAGCTGAAAAAGTCGTCAACAAGCACAAACACACAAAAAGCAACACATCACAAGAGAAACGATTGGGACGATACAAGACATGCACAAGTAAATCGCTCAAAGTGTGCGGTTGGGGGAGGGGGGGAGGGGGGCGGGGGGAATGTGTTACCTGTGAGTCAACTTGTGAGCCAGTCTTGCAGGCATTCTCTTGTGTGCAAAATTTAGGGCTTTGGGCTTGGGGTTTAGGATTAGAATTGCCTGGTCCTCAGTTCCGAGTTCAAAGGATTTGAATGGCATACAAATTTACACGTGGCTTTTACTTGAGGCATGGCGCTTCTACATGGGCTTTTTTTTACTTGAGGCATGCCAATTTTTACGTGTAACTTCTACTTTTGTGCCAAAGCATGGGATCAGGATCTGGGGCTCAGGGTTGGGATTGCATTACTTGTGTGTTGTATGCTGGGGGGCGGTGGCAAGATATCAAGTGTACCAGCAAAAGCGCTGTGTAGCAACAGGCCGGCTCCTCGCAACCAAAATGAATTAAAGGCATGCAGCAGCACCTGCCCCAAAAAGCCTACTGCTGACAGTCGTCGTCAGGAACTCTCTTGAACCACACCCAGCATTGGGGTTTAGGATTTAGGGCTTTAGGGTTTATAGGATTTGGCCCAGGGGCCAGATGACCCTAGGCTCCCTCCGTGTCCGTCCATGACGAAACCTGAAACTTGGAAAGTAAATCTTGTTTCGGCCCAACTTCATCATGCAAGGCGATCGTGATCGCTCTCGACGGAAGGTCTCCATCACAAGCACACAGGGTGTAGGCGGAGGCAAGGGACACCGGCCCTCTTTGTAAGCAAATCAGTCTAAGCCTTCGAAATCTGAGCAACATGTGAACAGCCCTGAGCCACACATCCCTAAACCCTAAACCCTAAACCCTAAACCCTAAACCCTAAACCCTAAACCCTAAACCATGTGTGACTCACAAGCAGAAAAGGCGGATCTTTGTCTCCACACACAGAGAGAGGCCTTGCTTTTGAGCCCACAGGTCCTTCCTTGGGGGGGCTTTTGCCCCTTTTCTTCTTTTAGGGTTTAGGGTTTAGGGTTTAGGGTTTAGGGTTTAGGGTTTAGGGTTTAGGGTTTAGGGTTTAGGGTTTAGGGTTTAGGGTTTGTCCGATGGGTTTATAAGGCCACCCAAGGTTGCATGCGCCGTTCCCAATACCCTTGCCCTTCTTCTTGGTGTCTGGCTGCTGCCAGAGTCGGCGCATTGGCTCGCCAGCCAAGCTCGGGGACAAGAGGCTGCCCAAATTGTCACAGAGTCTGAGGGGTCTTTGGAAATAGTTTACTTTTTTTGGGTACTTTAATTCCTAAGAAACGGCTAACAACATTATAGTTTTCGCTAGGGTTCCAAGTTCAGTATAGGTGTGGGCCCGGTGGAATGCTTCCCCACATGAGTTCGCCTCGCTGACCGTGCCGGAGGAACTGGAGGACGTCGATTTTGCTTTGCTTGCAAGAGACGGCAAACTGCGCCGCAAATTCGTTCTCTCGAGCGTCGTCTGGCTTGGGTTTGGCGCTGCGTTCTACGGGATCTCATTCTTCGTGCCGCGCCTCTTTTCAGCTGTGACAACTGACAGCACCGAAGACGCCAGCATCCCCAGAGTCACGTTCAACTTTGTGCAAATATTGATTGCAAACAGCTCACTAGTTGTGGGCTTGGTATTTGGTGTGTTTTTGATCGATCGAGCGGGGCGCAAACCGGTCCAGATCGTCGGCTTCCTTCTCGCAGGTGTTGCGTCATTCTTCTTGGGTTTCGAATCTCTGGGGAAGCCGGCCATTGTCATGTTCACCTCCCTTGCTTTGGCCAGCGAGAACGCAGCATCGACATGCACATGGGTGCACACTCCGGAGCTTTTTCCAACCCAGGTGCGGGGTCTCGCGCATTCGCTGCTCAGCGCATGTGCGAGCGTGGGTGGAGCGATCGCGCCATACGTTGTTGCAGCGCCGATTCCATGGTCGGCCTTTCTCATTGCCGGATTCTCCGCGTCTGCGGGCTTTGCAGTTTTCGGCTTAGAGGAGACAGCTGGGAAAAGCCTCGATGACTGTCACGACATTGACAGCGACGTGGATGTGGATGACAGAGACGCTTACTGCACTGAGTAAGTTGCTCGCCCTTTCACATGTCCTGCGAGGCGTTGATCCGCACTTGCAACGCACAGGGGTAGCCGAGAAGCCCACAAGCAGCCGATTGGTTCAAGGTTTAGGGTTGCGGTAGTGGTTACAACAATACGAAAACATCTGCGGCACTGCGATGGCCGTGACTTGCTCGTTCTTTGTCCAGTAGTTACAAACTACAACAGCATTATGTGCGTTCTTCTTTACAAGGTACTACACTATTGCATAGCTGCAAGGAGCATTCTCGCAAGCGCGACAAGCACTCGCGACCCTGCCACGCATCGTGGCTTCCAGAAAAGGAGTGGCGACAACTCTCATGTTGTGTGGTTTTGAATGTTGAGAGGCATGCTGGGTGTCTTTTCCGGAAAAGTGTTGCTGAGACTGTCCGGGCAGGACATCATAGCCCGGATGCAAAGAAAAGCCTCAATGATGGGGGAACCTCGGGGGGGGGGGGGTGGTAAAGAGGGAGGGAGTAGGGGAACCCCTGATAGACCCCAAAATTACGCATGTTTCCCTAAACCCTAAACCCTAAACCCTAAGCGTTGAAGAGGCGCAGGAGCTCCGGGCTTCGCTCTGGGGGGGGGGGGGGGGGGAAATACACAGGGTTTAGGGTTTAGGGTTTAGGGTTTAGGGTTTAGGGTTTAGGGTTTAGGGTTTAGGGATGAGTTGGTGTTTAGGGCCCTTAAGCTAGGCACCCAAGAAGGTACCCCGACTTTCGGAAACCCCCAAATGAGTGTAAAGCCATAAACGGGGCTTTGAAGGAGGGCTCTCAACATTATCATTGCGATGTGCCGCTGACACATACCATGCCGGTGGCAAATCTTGAGAAAGTTAGGTTGTCAAGTATAACCGGGAAGACAATGCTTCGGCTCAAGATGGCATTGGCCCAGATTGCACAATAAACTGGGGTAAAACCCTGTAAGGCCTCTCTATAGGCCCATGGAGAGCTCGACCTGGGACGTCGATGTCGCCATCGAGAAGGTGGGCATGGGCCGTGGGCAATGGATTCTTTTCTCCCTCGTCGCGCTCTTCCTTCTGGCTGATGGTGTGGAGGTGTCATACCTCTCCTATGTCACCAGGGTGCTACAGGTAGAGTGGCACTTGAGTGCAGAACAAGAGGCCCGGATTATTTCCATGGTGTTCTGGGGCGAGGTCCTGGGCGCCCCAGTGTGGGGCATTCTCGCTGACAGGGTCGGGCGGCGGCCCGCATTCTTGTGGTCTGCCTTGGTGATCTCCGTCGCCGGCTTCGCCGCAGCCCTCTGCCAGAGCGTGCTCCATCTTACCCTGGTGCGGGCTGCCGTGGCCTAGTAGTAGAGAAGGTAACCTGTAACCTTTTTGGGGTAGTAGAATCCGCTTATAATCCCAAAAATTAACCTTGAATTCCCCCAGGTGCCTGGACAACTCCCTAAACCCTAAACCCTAAACCCTAAACCCTAAACCCTAAACCCTAAACCCTAAACCCTAAACCCTAAACCCTAAACCCTAAACCCTAAACCCTCAAGACAAAATAAATAGAAATTGTATGTGGTATCGTTCTGAATTTTCAAGATATTTGTCTAAACAGCTGACATACAGAGTTTAAGTAATTAATCCAAAGCGCCTGGGAGACCAAATGCTCAATTTACTTAAACCTCTGGAGCCAACTTAGGCTACACGTCAAGCGCACAAATGAGGCCCGAAACTCGATCCCCCCAACGAGAGGTCCCAAATTAGACCGCTGGGCCCAAACCCCCCCCACAAACCCCCCCCCCCCCCCACCCCTCCCAAACCCCCCCCCAACCCCCCCAAAAACCCCCCCAAACCCCCCCAACCCCACCAAACCCCCCCCAAAACCCCCAACCCCCCCAAACCCCCCCCAAAACCCCCAAAAAAAAAAAACCCCACCAAAACCCCCCCAACCCCCCAAAACCCCCCCTAAAACCCCCCCAACAACCCACCCCGCCCCCCAAAACCCGCCCAAAAACACCCCTCCCCCCGCAACCCCCCCCAAAACCCACCAAAACCCCCCCCCAAAAACCCCCCAAAACCCCCCCAAAAAACCCCCCCCCAAACCCCCCCAAATCCCCCCCCAAAACCCCCCAAAACCCCCCAAACAACCCCAAACCCCACCAAAACACCCCCCGAAACACCCCCCAAAACCCCCCAACCCCCCCCCCCCCCCCCCCCCCCACCCCAAAAACCCCCAAAACCCCCCCCCAAACCCCCCAAACCCCCCCCAACACCACCCCACAACCCCCCCCCAAACCCCCACCCCCCCCGCCAAACCCCCCCAAAAAACCCCCCACAACCCCTCCCCCCCCCCCCTCCCCCCCCCCTCCCCCCCCACCTCCCCCCCCCCTCCCCCCCCCCTCCCCCCCCCTCCCCCCCTGTCCCCCCTCCCAGCCCCCCCTCCCCCCCCCCCCCTCCCAAAAATTAAAAAGGAGTTCCAAAAAACAAAACTTGGTCAAAACGTTTCGGTCAAAACTTTTTGGGACCCAAACCCTATACAATTTCTATAAACCCTGCCACTGGACAACAAAGGTGGGCTTCGGGATCGCGGGCCAGACGGCAGCCTTCGACATCTTCGCCGAATCGCTGCCATCGTCGCATCGCGGCGTGCTGCTGATGTGGACCATGTTCTTCCCTTCCTTGGGATCCTCGGGATGGGTTTAGGGTTTAGGGTTTAGGGTTTAGGGTTTAGGGTTTAGGGTTTAGGGTTTAGGGTTTTAGGGTTTAGGGTTTAGGGGTTGGAAGGAACTGTACTTGTGTTGCCTGTAGCTAGCTTAAACTCGAACAGCGGAACATCGCCCCCTTGAAGTTTCCATGGATCCTGACATGAGTTGCTTTTGTTGCCACTCGGAGGTCCATTCCGGGTACTAGGGTTATAAGTACCCTACGAAGGAGCTTATAGCCATAGCTCCCCTACGTGTAACCCTGCTTCTAAGTACCCGAACGTACCTAAATCCTAAACCCTAAATCCTAAACCCTGAACCCGAAAACCTTCCACACAAATACCAAAGCTCGGATCCATCCCTAAACCCTAAACCTTAAACCCTAAACCCTAAACCCTAAACCCTAAACCCTAAACCCTAAACCCTAAACCCTAAACCCTAAACCCTAAACCCCAGGTCCCTTCTAAGCTTCCAAGGATCCATCTACAGCACCTTCGTGGCCTCACTCATCTTGGAGCCGTGCGGCTGGCAGGCCTTCACTGCCACCTTGCCTTTTATGGCACCGTGTGCCATAGGTGGGGGTTTAGGGTTTACTGTAGGGTTTAGGGTTTAGGGTTTAGGGTTTGGGGTTTAGGGTTTAGGGTTTAGGGTTTAGGGTTTATAGGGTTTATAGGGTTTATAGGGTTTAGGGTTTGTGCCTTGGACCCCTACGGTTGTACCCTTGCGTTGAGGGTGGTACTGATAGGCCACTTCCCTGTTTGAGGGTTTACAGGGTTTTCTGAGTATACTTCTCGCTCACTTGGGAGGGCGACTTTCTGGAAAGGGGGTTGGGATTGCAAGCCCTCCACACGACGCACCTTCCTTGTTTGGGTTTCGCTCAAGGGGGGTGGGGGGAGGGGGGATATTAACCCTAAACCCTAAACCCTAAACAGCTTTTTTCCAAGACCACCACCAAGGTGGCATGCGCCGTTCCCACCACCCTTGCCCTTCTTCTGAGTGTCTGGCTCCTGCCGGAGTCGGCTCATTGGCTCGCCAGCCAGTCTAGAGGAGAAGAGGCTGCCCAAATTGTCGCAGTGTCTGAGGGATCTTTGGAAATAGTTTCCAATTTTTGGGCACTTTAATTCCTAAGAACAGCTGACATTATAGCTTTGGGTACTTTAATTCCTAAGAAACAGCTGAAATTATATAGTTTTTGCTAGGGTTCCAAATTCAGTATAGGTGTGGGCCCGGTGGAATGCTTCCCCACATGAGTTCGCCTCGCTGACCGTGCCGGAGGAACTGGAGGACGTCGATTTTGCTTCGCTGGCAAGAGACGGCAAGCTGCGGCGCAAGTTCATGCTCCTGAGCGTCGTTTGGCTTGGGTTTGGCGCTGCGTTCTACGGGATCTCATTCTTCGTGCCGCACCTCTTTTCAGAGGTGACGACTGACAACACCGACGCTACCAGCGTCTCCAAAGTCACGTTCGACTTTGGGCAAATATTAATTGCGAGAAGCTCACAGATTGTGGGCCTGGTGTTTGGCGTACTTCTAATCGACCGCGCGGGGCGCAAACCGGTCCAGATCGTCGGCTTCCTTCTCGCAGGTGTTGCGTCATTCTTCTTGGGTTTCAAATCCCTGGGGAAGACCGCCATTGTCATGTTCACGTCTCTTGCGTCGGCCAGCGAGAACGCAGCATCGACATGCACGTGGGTGCACACTCCGGAGCTTTTTCCAACCCAGGTGCGGGGTCTCGCACATTCGCTGCTCAACGCATGTGCGCGTGTCGGTGGAGCGATCGCGCCATACATCGTTGCAACGCCGGTTCCATGGTCGGCCTTCCTCATTGCCGGATTCTCCGGAGCTGCCGGCCTTGCGGTGTGTGGCTTAGAGGAGACAGCTGGGAAAAGCCTCGATGACTATCACGACATTGACACCGATGTGGATAGTGACAGTGACAGCAATGCTGAATTATCTGAGTAGGTTGCCCTGCCCAGAGAGGCATGGATCCTTGTGGGGCAGGGGCAGCCGAGAAGCGCAGCATACATTCTAGTGAATTCCTTTCAACTATCGGCCCCCAAAGAAAGAGGCCATATTGTAGAGAAGTAGTGACCACAAAAGTTCAGAACAAAGGCTCCTGGAGCGGTTCGGGCCCAGTCTTGAACCTTGTTAAAGTGGAGCGCCCGATGCCTAGCTTAAATGGCGGCTAGCTGCATCCCCCCTGCTTCTGAGGTTGTGTCTAAATGTCGGTGGAAGCGATATATGCGCCCAAAAATACACAAGGTTCAAAGACGTAATTCCTATATACTCTTTTGCTTGGACGTTGCTCCGGAAAGTTGGACTTGTGTTTAGAGTGGCTTAAATCAAAGATGGGAAACCATCGTTGCAAGAGATCGAATCTCTGAATTCAGATATACATGATCCTAAAAAAAAATTAAATTCTATGAAATGGGATATTTATCAAATTTAGACTTTCTATATTGGGATATTAAACAAGCTTAGAGACCCTCTCAAATGGGATACTAACTTAATTTAAATTCTATTTTAAGGGGCTGCGCCCATGGGCGGGCAGCGCACGCAGAAGCCCGGGGCGAGCAGTTTCTAAGCATGTTGAGGCCCCTAAACTCCCTTAAAATCTCTAAGCGTTAAGTTTCTAAGCATTTTCAGGCCCCTAAACTCCCTTCAAATCTCTAAGCGTTTGAGGCTCCTAGACTCCCTTAACGTTTCTAAGCACTTTATAAGGCCCCTAAACTCCCTTTTTCCTGGCCCCGGGCTTAGACACGTCGCTTATGCCCGCCCTTTGGGGGGCATCATGCTCCTGATGCGCCCCCGGGGTCCCGCCCCGGGAGCCGCTGATGCTCCTGATGCGCGCCTGGGGGTCCCGGGCTGGACCCGCTGATGCTCATGATGCGCGCCCTCTGGGGGCCTCCGTGGCGACGCAAAAAACCACGAAAAAAAAACCGTTCACCGGCGGCACGCGGGGGTCGGCGGCACTGGCGTCCGGCCTAATTCTGCTTCGCATTCTGCTTCGCAGAAGGCCAGAGGCCAGCAAGGCTATTCCCGGGACGACCCGGGCTAAAAGGTCCGCATTTGCTCGGTCCTTTGGGGACCTCGCGCTGCCCGATTTAATGGCTACCGCCAGTGCCGCCGACCCCTTGGAGGCAAACGCCCAAGCTGCCCAAACCCTATCCCTTCGTTTCCCCCCCCCCCCTTCTTCTCCTGCTCAACTCTGGGAGATAATGCCTCTGCTCTAAGCGCCGAAACCGCAAACCTTGGTTCTAAGTTCTGAAACGGTATATGTAAAGGGATGGGGTTGGAAAGGGGAAGGGTACTGAGGAAGAGGGGCAGGGGAAGGGAGTGGAATGGTTGGGTAGAGGGTATCGGCGAGGGGGGTATAGGCGGAGGGGGGGGGTTTGGAGAACGCAGTAGGTGAGGGATTGAGGAGGGGCAGGGGGGCTGGGGAGGGGGGGTGGCGGGGCCAGTGCGGGAAGGGTAGGGTCGAGGCGAGGGGGGGGGAGGGTTTGGGGTAGGGGTGGGGGTGGGGGTGGGGTGGGGGGAGGTGGCATGTGAGGGGTTGAGGAGGTGGGTGTGTGTGGGGTGGGAGGTCAGGGACGGGGGGGAGGAGGACGGGTGGGGAGGGAGAGGAGGGGCAGGGCAGGAGGAGTGGAATGGTTGGGAAGGGGAAGGGTAGTGGGGGAAAAAGGCGGGCGTGTACTGGACCCTGTAAATGATTGCCTCATCCGCGAGGGGAGGTCTTGGCGGAGGGGGGGGTCGGCAGCGGGTGGGGTAGGGCAGGGGGGGGTGGGGGACGGGGAACAAACAGGAAGGGGAGCAGTGCGGGAGGGTGGGTGAGGGGGGGGGG